AACCAGACATGTTCAAAGCCCGGTCTCTTTCAGGCTATCTTGGAGGGCCTGGGGGGGTCTGGGGACGATGTTTTGGAGGGTTCTCCCACGGGGGGGGTCTGAAATGGCTTGTCTTGGAGGGTCCAGACCCCCTCCCTTTTATTACGAAATCTGGAGCACCTGGGTGAGCAAGGCATCAGCGAGGGGCGCATCAAGCAGATTGCGGAAACATTCCATCGCCAAGCTGATGAACTTGCCATGGGCGGCGTACGCCTGCACAGCGTACCACACAGCTTCGTCGACGCAGGTAAATGGCGACGCCTGTTCGTCGCCGTCCTCCACAGCACGGCTGTCGCGATCTATGACCAGCGTCACCAGGCGCCCCCCCCCCGCCAAACAGAAGGGCGGGCCACTCAAGGGTTGACGTCAGCAAGACGAATCCCAACTCTCTCGCCATCGGCCAAAATGGGCACGAACCACCAGGCTCACGAGGCGGCCCCGCTCATCTCGACGGTCCACAAGTGCCCGACTACTTCACGACCTCGATGATCCATGCGAAAATCTGATCGATGACTTCAACGGCGAAGAACAAGGCCCTTTCGGGCAAGGCGCATCCCTGAGCGAAAGCGAAAGACACGATGCCTCCCCCTCCAGAAGTCACAGCAGTGTCGGGCACAGCGATCACGCAAATCACCACGACGCGTGCCAACCAAGACTGTGCAACGGCCAGGCGCAAGCCAACACTCAATTGGATCAGGCCGCCACTACAAGCCCCACTCACCACCAGGCCACCTCCCCCTCCCACCAGGGCACGGGGAGCAACGAACGGCCACTGACCGACGGCGGAGCAGGTCTTGGCCAAGCACCTCTCAACGGCCAGACGACAGCCCGAGGGCAATCGCGAAAAGGCACTCATCGCCAGCATCAGCGCACTCCAGCATCGGGCCAATCAAGTAGCCCAATCTGATCAACGCATCCAGGAACAGTCCGGCCCGCGACTAGACAGGTTCCACCGAGCACGAGCTGCCTGGGACGGCTTTCAGCAAGCTTTCCGACCTCTTGCTGTTCTTGGGGCAATCCTCCAAGAAAACCTCCACGCATACTTTGCTGCCCAACGCGAGGCACACCAATGCTAGCGCCTCCTCTCTCCCAGTAGGCTCCGTGAACAGCTGGCACCTGTTCCGCTGCCCTCTTCATGGGCCGCCGCGGGGGATGCCCCGAGGTGGCGCCGTCATTGTCCAGGGCGCCGCATCACGCAGGCGCAGGCGTGTGTACATCTGGCGTCCCTGTTCGCGGGTGTGCAACAGAAGGGGTGAGCCTCGCCCACGTCACCGCGTCCCGCTTTTGCGTTTCAGCCGGGTCCCCCAAAGACCGCGCCAGGGGGCAGGGTAGGCTCCCCACCCCTGCGTCTCAGAGGCGGCAACTCCCGCCTCTCGAGACTTGCCCGGCGGGAGCCTGCACACCGCGGGCCGGCACAGACCGTGTTCGAACCGGTGCGCGCTCCCCCGACTCCTCCTGCTCCCCCTCCTCCTCGCTTGGACTTGCTCGGGTTGCCAGCTAGGCTCCTGATCCTGTTGCTCCTGCTCCTGCTCCACCCTCTTCTTCCTCCTCTCTGCACCTCCTCCGAGGCCGTCCCGTCTCGTCCTTCCCGTCCTCCTGGAAAACCATCCTCTGCGTCCTCGTCCTCCTCCTCCTCCTCCTCCCTTTTCTTTCTCGTCCTCCACCTCCGACTCCCCTTCCTCCGCCAGCACCAGCTCATCCACACCCTCGTCTCCGAGGGAAGTACCAACGAGTTCCATGGTGAGCCATGGCCTTTTTCTGTGTTCCGTCGGCACTGCCACCGAGGAACGGCACGAAGGCCGCGCAAGCCCGCCCGCCGTCACGGAGTCTTGTCCGACCGCAGACGCATTGCAGAAGCGTGTGTTCGCAGAAGGCGTCCACCCAAAAACGGCGCCTCAAAACAAATGAGTCAATCTTCAGCTGCATGTGGCGCGCACTCTGGTGTGAGCGTTACTGAGATCACGGCGCTGCAATTTTATCACACCATGCATGTTCGACCTGTTCTGGGACCTGGGACCATTACATATGAAAGAGCGTGTTCTACCGCTGCTGGGGGTCACTACCGGTTCGAAACCCCCCCTCCCCCCCCCTCAGTCCATCATGAAAAGGGGGGGGGAGGTCACTACAGGTTCGAACCCCTCCCCCCTTGGTGGTGGGGACAGTGGTGTGGGGACAGCGGGACAGTGGTGTGGACAGTGGTGGGGACGGTGGTGGTGGGGACAGTGGTGAGGGGACAGTGGGACAATGGTGGGAACAGTGGGGACAGTGGGACAGTGGTGGGGACAGTTTGTGGTAGGGACAGTGGTAAGAGTGGTGGTGAGGACGGTGGTGGGACAATGGGACAGTGGTACAGTGGGTACAGTAACGAAGACAGTGGGGACAGTGGGACAGTGGTGACAGTGGAGATAGTGGGGCAGCACAGTGGGACAGTGGTGGGGACGGTGGGGGCAGTGGGACAGTGGTGGGGACAGTGGGAACAGTGGGGCAGTCGTAGGGACAGTGGGGACAAAGGGGAAAGTGGGACCGTGGTGGGGACAGTGGTGGGGACAATGGGGACAGTGAGACACTGGTGGGGGCACTGGTGGGGACAGTGGGGACAATAGTGGGAACAGTGGTGACAGTGGGACTGTGGTGGGGACAGTGGGACAGTGGTGGGGACGGTGGTGGTGGGGACAGTGGTGGGGACAGTGGGACAAGTGGTGGGGACAGTTGGGACAGTAGGACAATGGTGGGGACGGTGGTGGGGGCGGACAGTGGTGAGGGCGGTGGTGGGACAATGGGACAGTGGTACAGTGGGGACACTGGTGGGGACAGTGGGGACAGTCAGACACTAGTGGGGACAGTGGGAAAAGTGGGACAGCACAGTGGGACAGTGGTGGGGACGGTGGGACAGATCAGTGGGACAGCACAGTGGGACAGTGGCGGGGACGGTGGGGGCAGTGGGACAGTGGTGGGGGGAGAATGGGGACAGTGGGGACAGTGAGACACTGGTGGGGACAAAGGGGAAAGTTGAACCGTGGTGGGGACAGTGGTGGGGACAATGGGGACAGTGAGACACTGGTGGGGGCCCTGGTGGGGACAGTGGGGAGAATGGGACCGTGGTGGGAACAGTGCTGAGGACAGGGGGGACAGTGCGAGTGGTGGGGGCACTGGTGGAGACAGTGGGAAAAGTGGGGACAATGGGACAGGGGTGGTGGGGACGGTGATGCTGGGGACAGCGGCGAGGGCGGTGGTGAGGACGGTGGTGGGGACCCGGGAGTCGTTTGCCGGCGGTGAGTGGGGGGGGGTTCGAACCGGTAGTGCACCCCCCTGCGTTTTCTGGAGGGGGTTGGAGGGTTTAGGGGGGGGGACGGGGTTGCCGAGGACAGGGAGGGGGGGTGGGGCTTCGAGCAAGGGGGTGATGTTCGAAGGGGGGGGGGACCCTGGGTTCCGGAGGAAGAGAGGGGGGGAATCTTCCATAGTAAAGCGGCGGTGGATAACGTTCTCTCTAACATATCGAACAGGCTTGAAACATGCCGCAGAAAGGTGGGCTCCAGGGCCGCCATGGTCGTCATCACTTGTGATGTTTCAACTGTTCCGCCACGTCGGACCTCAGGGGGGATCTACACTGACGAATACAATCAAAAGCTTTGCCAAGAGGAGCCTTCGGTAAGGGAAGCCCCTTTTGTGCTCTTGGCTGCGCCCAGACGCATGAAGATCTCAAGGGGAAGAACAAGGAATTCCATCGAACCGATTTCGAAACCAAAGTGGACAGTGTACCGCAAAAGTTTCGACGAAGCTATGATAGACATGCACAAGCAAAAACAACAACAACAACAACAACAACAACAACAACAACAACAACAATTACTAGCACGTGGGGACACCCCGTTCTCACCAGTGCCAGGGTTTTCATAGGAGGCGGGCAATACCCCCACTTTGTGGGGGGGCCGGTTCAAGCTCTACCAAATTTCCAAACGACTCTTCGCCACCACCCACACCCAGCTTCCCGCCCTATGACGTTCGGACACTTCACTTCGTGGCATGCGGACGACCGTGGCTACTATTCAGGGCCCCGCGGCCGACGACGACGGCGTGCGCGCGCGAAGAAAAAACGAATGTGTCCCGCATGGTATTATTTGACAGGGATGATGGCCCTGGCAGGTGCGCAACCGTTGTTGCAGAAGTTCGAAGCACGTGAAAAAGTTGCTCGCAAGAGCCCGTTTGACAGAAATGTTGAAAAAGTATTGGGTTTCCTAAGAAATCCGCAAGAGCGCGCGGGATGAATGTTTGAAACTTTTTTTTTGAAAAACCATTGGGTTTTTCATGTTTTTATGTTAAAATCGCTACGAAAACTAAGGTTTTGGAAGGATTTCATCTTGCGCGCGCGAGTGTGCACTTCGTGTCATTTTTTGCAAAGGATTCTTGAAGTTTGGTTATGTTAGAACAAGACATGTCATTTTATATTGTTTTTTGACAGGGAAAGCGGGCGTCAACAAAACAACCGGATCTGGATCACATCGTTTTGCCTGAGACTTCCTCACGAAAATTATGAAAATGAGGCTGCGGCCTAGGCGCGGCGAGGGGGCCATGCACCAGGGGTCCCAACAATAATTATTCATTAGAAATAATAATGTTCAACAACAACAACAACAACAACAATAGTTTTAAGATTGTTCACCCTTATATGCTCGAGTGTCCAATAACGAATATTTCCCAAACCCTCGATACCCGCCCTCTTCGTCTTGGATCGAACCCCTTTTGGGGGGGGTTCTTCTCTGCAGGCCGGGCCCTGGCAAGCGGCGGGGCGGCCGCGGACCGTCGGCCTGGCCAGCGGCAGCGCTGATCGGGCGGGGCGGCCGCGGACCGTCGACCCGACCCCAAGAGGGACGGACAGGGGACCGACCACGACGACGACGACGACGACGACGAGGACCACCACGACGACGTCGAAGACGACGGCAACGACGACGACGACGACGACGACGGCGACGACAAGCGAAAGCGAGAGCGAGAGAGAACGACAGCAGCGCCACAAAGGGCACGAAGTAGGCCACGAAAGGCGACAGCGGGGACACAAAAGGACTGCGTATGGGGCCACGAAGAGCGCGAACGAGCGGGGGCCACGAAGTGCAGATAATGTGGGGCCACAGAAGGCAACTATGGGGCCACTGAAGGTAGCAACTGGGCCACGTAGGACAGTAAGGGGGACACAAATGGCGACAGCGGGGCCACGCAGGGCATGCACATGGGGCCACAACGGGCGCGACTCCTGGGTGCCTGGGTGTCGGAAGCGTTGCGCTTGGGCAAATTGCAGGAAATTCCAACGCAAGGCCATTCTTCAGTAAGTTGCAAGGAAGTCTCCAGCGAGAGCGCGACTCCAGAGCGCCAGGAGAGCGATTCCTGAATAAATTGTAAGGAAGTCCCAAGCGAGAGCGCGATTCCTGAATAAAATGCGAGGAAGTCTCGGGCAGGAGCGGGGGTCCTGGCTAAATTGTAAGGAAGTCTCAAGCGGGAGCCGTTGTTGTTGTAACCCGGGGGCCAGGGGCCCAGTTTGAGCAGGAAGACTTTCCCTGTCAAAAAAAAGGGTGCGAGCGTCGAGGGACACACTTTGATCGAGAAAGAACAATCTGCACCGGTGGGGGGGGATGAACAATAATCATTCTTCTGAAATGAGAATTCAACAGCAACAACAACAACAACAACCACAACAACAACAACACCAACAACAACAACAACAACAACAACAACAACAACAACAACAACCACAACAACAACAACATCATCAACATCAACATCAACATCAACAACAACAACAAAAACAAAAACAGAACAGAGCAGCAACGACGAACCATTCAATGTTCATGGCTGCACGTGCCAGGGTGCATCAACGAATCACGAGCACCGCGCACATCCCCGGATGATAGAATTGGTGGAAAAAACATCCATTTGCGTTAGGGGGGTACACTCCGTGTCGAGGCAGCACGATTGCGCTGACGCGCTCGCACAGACGCTTCTGCAAATGATGATCCCGATCGTAACCAGGCGGGTTCGGATTAGTCACGACCTTAGCCCTCTTCGCGCGCTCGAAGAGTGAGATCCCGACAAGCGCGATGGAGTCCGCCACGGCGCTGAGCAGCAAAAGACGTGCGAATGGCCCCTTGCCACTTTCATGAGTTGACCTCTTCCGAAGCAAAGAGTAAGGCCCCCCGACACACCGAGCCCAACATGTGTACACGCTTGGCCGCAGGTCCCCAGGTTCTTGGCGTTCCCCATGCAAACCGAAGCCAGACTCAAAATTACTGACAGCTCCTCGCAAATATCCCCCCCACACACACAAGTCGCCCCTGCCCCAGCCCCCCTCGCCCAGCCGCCCCAACCCCCCTCCCCCGCCCCCTCCCCCAACGCCCCCCCCTCCATGCGCGGTGGTGGATACATGTTTCGTTGATCTGCGAGCTGGCTCAAGCAAGCGGTCGGCTAACAGCGGGACGCGTCGGAAGCAAATTACGCAACGGTGGCAGATACGCGCGGCAGCGCAACGGGATAGCCAACGTACTGGGCGGCAGTGCACTCCTCGCCGAAGGCGACCACAGAGAACAGCACGAATCCTACATTCCGCGCGTTCACCAACACCTTCATGGCCAGCCCACCGACCAGCTTAGTGAGCCAGAAGCCAGCGAAAGAGACAATGCCTCCGAGGACGAAGGAGGAGGCCAGCGCCAGCAACAGTCTGGGAGTCCACTCCGTGGATCCTAGCATGGTCGGCAGCTCAAGCGCCGCCGACAGCGCGAAGCCAATGGCCGTCATGACGGGGCTGCACCAGTAGATAGAATCGAAGAAGGCCAGCCTCTCGATAGAAACCTGCGAGAGAACCGATTTGATGGCCTCTGACGAACTGGCCAGCAGCATAATGAATACGCCGTAGGCAAATGTCCCAAGGCCTTGGCTACCACCTGCTGTCCCACCGTAGCCCACCGAGCAGGAGATGCCAACGACAATGGTACACACGGCTGTCGCCAAGAGCGCGCTGGGCTCCTCCGTTCCCATCAGCCAGCCGATCACCATCACCTCCACCAGCGTGACAGACTTGAGAATCTGCACCAGAGGCACCGGAATGTACATGTACGCGGAAGTCCCCAAGAACATGCTCGCATTGGAGGCGATGCTCAGAGGCACCGCGACCTTCAGGATCGCCCCACGAGTCGTGCTCATCGGCCTGCTGGGCCAGCAGCCGGCACGCGCGGCGGTCTGCGAGGCCAGAGCGAGGCACAGGTTGCCGAGATTGCAAATGAATATTGGAAAGCGGAAGTTCGAATAGGGTATCAACTACAGAATCGATTTACACCAAAATTGATTCTCCCGGCGGATACACAAGAAACGCGGGGAAGGTTCGCGGATCTACGGGGCATGAAACGTATTTGCTCGTAGTTCCGGTGAGAAAATCAAATGTGGGGTTCAAAAAAAGCCTGCAGTTGATCCCCC